TAAACCGGGGTATTCTGGAAATTCATGTTAAAATGAACTTATATTCACAGAGACGCTGCATCGATAAATAGTTTTAAGGTATTTAGAGATACAATTAAACTTTTCTTTGGAGGAATTGCTGTTGATTTTAAATTAAAATCGTGTTTTGTTTTTTGTTTATAAAAAAACCAGCACAACAAAAGAAGGCAGATGTTATTGCAAAATTTGTAAAAGGAGGGGGGACCAACAAACAAGAATAACCAATTTTCTAATTAAAAAACTATTCTCATTTAGGAGAAATAGCTATATTCAAATGAATGTTAATTAGCTATTGTTTTTAATTAAAGGCCCTATTAACAAGCTCTTTGCCAGCTTTATGTTAACTAATATTTAAAGAAATTTCGGATAAAGCAAGGACATTTTTATATACATATATATAGTTTCCTATAATTATTCTTTGTTAATTTTACAAGTGTACATTCATATATTAATAATGTCTTTATTAATATTTATGTAAATTTATTCATCTTAACAGTTTTAAATTAAATAAAATCCAAATTTACCATAATACTTTAACAGAAACATGCATCAAGAAAAGCATGCATCCTCGAATTTCGCCGTAAGTCACATTTGATAACGTATGACTTACGACAGAGACCTTGGAACAGAGTCCCATCTTAGAACTACTAGCACATATTGCAATGCATATGAGAGGATTTTCTTATTTTGCATATCCTGTGTTTACCCTCATAAAAGATTGCACATTTAAAAAGAATAAAATATTTCATTTAAACAAAATGCAAAATATAAACCTTTCTGAAAAACTTAACAAAGAAATTATTTTTTATTTGCCAAGCATCAATATACTATAACAAAAGCATATAATATTTCCTTCGGGAATAAAGAAAATTTGCTAAGAAAACAATTTTTCATATAATCGAAATGTTAATAGGAAGTGACCTGCTGCAAAGCATAAAATAAAATCACATATTCCTAGTCCGAAGGAAAAGCAGACGTACATTTTAGAAATATTTAGAATACACATAAATTTTAGGAAAGAAACATTATTTTGAAAACATAAATTTTAGGAAGGAAGCATTTATTAATACGAAATTTATGGAATAAACAAAGAAATGCAATCCTATAAATAATAATAAAACATATTCGTAGTTTGCTTTTCCGTTAATATCTATAATCTATTTACATGCAGAGTATATGTAAAAAGAGCTATAATGAAATTATGTTTTCTGAGAAAAATTAATGGAAATATAGAAAAAGACATTATATTCTGCTGTTAGTTAACGGCAGTAACATGTTTTACAATGCAAAATGCACAGTATGAGAACATTTGAATTCGATCATTTTTTGCAGTAGTTTTTCAGAGAAAATTGATAGACGTGTTTAAGATTTCATTTGTAATGGTCAGCTGAAGATTGATGGGAAGCTATTGATTGTTATTTATAATAGTTCTAACAATGATGGTGTTAATTTCAGTCCGTACTGAAGGCAGTCTTCGATTTGTAGCATCATGGATACTGTGCCGATAGCTCCTAATTCGTGAAGGAAGCCGAGAAAACTTCTCTTAAAAGCAAAATTCTTTTCAGAATGTTCCTTGCAGCAGATTTCTTGAACATTTTGAAGCTTTCTACCTGACAGGTAATAGCTCCGAACTAAAAATATGTGTTCTTTTCTTTCGATCCTATAAATTATTATTATTATTTCGAGCCATTCTTTTGACATTCCATTCTCTTCCATTCTTTCCGATGAAACCCTAGTAAAATTCTATTGTGGTTAATTATTAGTCAGAAGCCTGTAGTATTTCGATCAAACTGAAAATCATAATAAAAACTGAATAAAATGAATGTGTCTGAATATTTTATAGCTCGTTCTATATGGCCCTAAAATACCGAATAATGCATAGAAATAAATTAATTTAAATTTGTAACCACTTTCAAATTTATTATTATCCAATCGGCAGAATTTTTTTATATATATATATTTAAAAATATGTTGACAAACTTCTCTCACTTGAGAAACTTCTTTGACTCACGCTGTATCTGTCAAATGATTCATGTGATGTATTATTAATGTTTGATGAATTACAGAGTTATTTAATTAAATGAGAACATACATCAATTAATTATATAATTAAATGAGATAAAAATGTTTACAATGAACTTATTGGCTAATAATATTTTTTATCCTAAGTCAATAAACATATTTTAAAGTTTTTAAAGTTTAAACTTTTTCAAGTTTAAACTTTATAGTAAGTCAATAAACATATTTTAAACTTTCAGTTTAAACTTTTTAAAAATATTTATTATTTTAATCTTATTATTTAAATTATTAAATTTATATTTTTGTGTTATTTGAATGAACAAAAGCGATAAACATCTTAAAACTTTCACAGTAAGCTTAATTTTAGTTGACCTTGAGAAAGATCATGCTATTAAGATTTTTGCAGGTCTATTGTTCTTTTCTAATCTTTTTAAAACCTTTTTTTCGAAAGCCTAAAAAGAATTCAAATCTTTGCTAAGCGTGATCTTATAAAATAGTACGTAAAATAAAATAAGTCTAAAATGCAATAAAATTAAAGAATAGTTTGAAATTTCATTACACAGATGCTATAAAATACACTTGTGTGCAAAACTTCAGCAACATATTCATTTTTCAACATACTACCACAAAATTGTTGAAAAGGGCTTTTCGCGATCAGTACAATGAAAAATTCAGCTCAATAGAAAGATGATGTATTTGCAAATATCAGCATCATGATATCAGAGGGTACGTTAGGATACACAAAACCCGAGGAGTCAGAGCGCCAGTGCAAGATAACATAAAATGAAGAAAAGAAGGCACATTTCCAGGCATTCTTCTGCAAATGAGATTGTACGTGCAACATGGCTACATGAAAACATCAGGATGCCTACATGACAGAATGATGGGCAAGCTTGAGAAGGGGCATAGTTTGACGTCTGTCACCCCGGAGTTTGGAAATTATATAAGTGTTGCTTCACAAGTTCGGGAAACCTTCCAGACGAAAGATACAGTTGTGAGAAAGGTCGGCAATGCTCGTCCACGGAAAACAACGGTGATTGATGACAGATGTATCAAAAAGCAGACCAAAAGAGATCGAGACCAGACAGACAGCAACATTACTCAGCATTTGCGCATGGCAATTGAACGACAGATGTCTTTGTTTACTGTGTCCGAATGACTTTTTAAAGGTGGTCTCTTCGTCCGCCGTCCTCAGCGCTGCATACCATTAACTGCAGCAAATCGGTGGCACCGTTTACAGTGGTGTAGAGAACACAAAGACTCACAAAGACTGGTCACCTTACAATGGAGTCCCTTTCTCTTTACCGATGAAAGACACACTTTTATCCCACTAACATCAGGAAAAGAGACTTTTGGGTGGTCCTGTCGTCCTTGTATGGGGAGGCATTTTGATGAATGGACGGACAAAGCTTCACATTTTCCACAGAGGTTCACTTAACGGGGATCGTTATTGTGATGAAGTATCCTCCTCCAAGGGCGTATTTTTCGGACCGACACCAATGCTGACTTTGTTTTTATAGTTGACAATGCACGACCATCCAAGACTCGTGCTGCTGAGGAGCTCCTAGAGAGTGAAGATATCCACAGAAGGGTTTAGCCAGCGTTGTTCCTCTGATTTAAAGCTTGCACTGAACATGTGTGGGATACTTTAGGGAGACGCCTAGCAGCACGATCTAACTCTCCGGAGAACACCGGATAACTGAAACATTTGCTCTTTGAAGAATGGGAACTCTTACTCCAAGAACTGTTAGATAACCTGGTGTTGAGTATCAACAGATGGTGAAACGCAACCACTGTAGTTACGAGAAGTTATTCTTTACTAAGGTTCTTTGGATTTTTGGTTTTCCTCTTAGCCAGACAGTTTCGGTTTTTTTTTTTTTTTTTTTTTTTTTTGCTACTATACTTTTCTCATCATTTAAATACTACATTGTGCCCCCGTAGTAGGAATTTGATGTCTCTCCCACTTGATTTTTTGCGAAATAATGGCCAAATCAGAAAAGTTGTTGAAGATTTGTTCACTGACGTATTCTAAGCCCTTTTATTCATTTTTATTAACTTTATTTCAAGTAATTAATTCACGAATTAATTTTTACCAGGTATTTTATTAATTTGGAATTGGAAATAATTGGAAGTAGAGTAACGCAGAATTGGAAGTGGTATGTGGCGAAGATTAGAAGGCGTGCTTAGAAGAATTAAAACAATCTGATTGGAAGATTTCAAAACGGCAAACTGTCTTTAAAGGCATTTTGTAGAGTTAACGAGAATCAAAGATCATTTTGTGAAAGAATATTGGATCAGTTTTTCGATTTGGTTTAAATTTTGGATATTTCGATTTCTACGAAGTAAAATTATCATTCAGTAAACGTTTTGTGCGGAATGTGAGAAGTATTGGGATCATGTGCTCTATACTGTTAATTTTTCAGTTACAATAAGAAAACAGAGGATCATATTTTATAAAATCACATATAATCCATCCGATAATGCACTCAATGCATTAAAATATGTTCGAGATTGTTAGGTAAGACGGACTTGTCAAAAAGGTAACCTGAATATGGCTTTTAAAAATTAAAAGCTTATGATACGTGATTTCAGTATGAACATATTTGACCATTCAGCTTGGATATATGTATGTGCTACGTAAGTATGACGGACAGTTTTTTTAAACCAGTTTTTTTATATTAAAGAACCAGTTTTTATTAAAAAGATCACTAAAATTTAATTGAAAAATTTTATAGAAGACTTATATAAAAGTAGCATTTTTGATAAAAGGTTTTCCATAAATAAATACAGTAGTTTAAGAGCATACTTTTTTAAATTCATTTTTTAAAAACTGGAGCCATATGTCTTCGAACAGTTGTTAAAAAAATAATGTGCGCGTGTGATAGGAACATAGAAATTCTTACGTTTTTCATTTTTTTTGTGTGTATATAGGAATAAATATTATTTTTTTATGATATCTACAGAGTGTGGTAGGTGTTGTTTTGGGAGCCGTTCTTGGACATGCAGTTTGCACGCTAGTTGCTGTAATGGGAGGCAAAATAGTTGCTGATCGAATCTCTCTCCGTGTGGGTGAGTCGTTTTCTTTAATTAATATAACAAGGTTCTTAGCATATATTTTGAAAATATTACATTAAAAAAACTGAAAGCTTTCAGATTTTATATTGCGCTCAAAAGCGCTGTTTTTAATATTTTGTGTGTTACCTTTATTTATTAAATATCATGTTCTTTGCACTTAAACTACAAAAAATTCAATTCAACAGTAATATCACAAACTATTAAAAAAAAAGCAAAACAGGGTATCTTTAGAATTTCCGATACATATTCTCGCGCGCTGGAGATAAAAATGTTTTCTTCCGTGCAGTGCTGACATTGCTCGATTTGAAATCGTTGAGTTTACTAATGAAAAATTCGTTAAAGTTTGACAAAATTGGAGAAATATTGTAATTGGAATAACAAATTCGAAATTAAAAATTCGGGCTTCTAAAGGCCGATGTTCGGTTGGAGGATTATGTTATTCAAAATTTGATAGCTGTAGGTGCCGTTGTTTTTTCACAATGGGAGAAACATTCACGCAGATTCTTCATTACTTAGTTTCTTCAAATATAATATGTAATATTTGGTGGCAACAGTTTGAAAAGCGAATCAACGCAGAAAGTGAAACGGCTCAAGATGCCGTTTTGAGATTAATAGCCCTTTGGGTCTAACGTCCCGTTGGGCTAAAAATTAAATTTTATGAATTTCCTTTTGATTTTATGATGATGGAAATTATATGAGGAAATTCGTGCGTAGGAAAGGGGGGGAAAGAAGTATAGAAATATATTTCAAACTGATTAACATCAGTCTGAAAGTTTATATGAATGTAAATGTGGCAAAAATTAGAAATAAGAATGTTTGTGTTTTTGATGCTAACAAATAAATTCGTAAGCGAGTAAAAAATTAAAACAAAGAATGCATGAAGTTACTTCCAGGTTTCGATGTATGCCGCTGTTAGCTAGTGTAATAAACTAGCTTTTTTCCAGCTCAGTTGAAATAAAATTAACTTAGAAGTAGAACACATAGTCTAAAAACATAAAAGTTATAAAAATGAAAGAAAAGGTCCAAAACATGACTGGCTTAATATGAAACAGTCGTGAAAAGTGTGAAAAACAGTGGATTAGAGGTGGCGCCATCTCGTGAGGTCAGGTGCAGTTGTTCACAGTCATCATACGGTAGAAGTAAAAGAGAATTAAATATTGAATTCTTCAATAAGTCCAAGAAACTGCAGGGCAAGCTGTAGTTTTTCTTTCTGCGAGTTCGCATCTTTAATAATCCTGGCGAATTGTAAAATTTTCCCGAAGAATTCAGTAAATGTATCTAATAAACTAACAACTTGTGTGTTAGTCTTTAAAGTTATGCCTGAAGTCATTAATTTAGCTTTTAAAGTATTCGAAGCAGCAGCAACACCAAGAGTAGTATTTTTAACTTTCTTTTTAAATTCTTTGGGCGGCTCGGGAGCAGTACTGTCATCTGTTATAGTGAAGCTTCTTACTTGCTCTTGGTTTTTATATACAAGACATGAATATAAGAAAGACAGAATGCCTCCGAAGTGGGATAGTGGTTAATGCCGTACCGAAGGACGCGGATTGGAATCCTGGGGAAGGAATGGATGTTAGTGTCTTTGCGGCATGGGGGGGCGAGACGAAAAGTCCTGTCGTGTAGATTGGTGGTAGGGGAAGAGGGGTGGGGAAACCTCGGAACTTTCCCCAAAATTGGAGTGGGACTGAGCAAAATCATGCTATCACCAATATGGCGCCCGAGGCTCTTGCGAACGACAGGCATAGTCTTGTACTTCCGCGATGAATTTCGGGGGCTTGTTCTGATGTTAGATTAGTCACAACAACAGAAAGACGGAATAAATGTTAGTAATGTAATTTTAAAGGAGTTGGTATGGAGGCATTATGTTATCACAGCGACAGCAAATACATATACTTGTCTAAACCTAATTTTCTTAAATTGGGAAACAAGTAAACTGACATTCAGGCCATAGAAGAGAGTTAAATAAAGCTACGAAGCTTATGGAGCTCTAGACCAGGAGTCAGCAAAGGTTTTTCTTGGAAAGGACCAGATGCTGAAAGTTTTAGGCTCAGCAGAAGAAGTGATATTTTTATATAATATGTGCTTTTACATAATGCGTATTTTTACATAAATGTTTATATGTGTTAATTACACATATAAACATTTTGCAAATCTTTATCAAAATATTTAAATTTATTAATAAACGTATTATAGAACAAGTTAAATTTTATGATCTGATGCAAAGAAAATAATTGTTTTTTTCTTGTGATAATATTTCATCATAGGTAAGTAATCTCAGATATAAATCCCCATACATATAATTTTAATTGGTAGTATTTATCTACCGAAAGACATTAAATCCGGCATCGCCTTCTTTTGTCAATAAATAAAATTCAAAGACAAAAATTAAGATAAACTTCTATTAATTTTATTGATAATTAGATGTATTAATCAATTGATTATTTTCTACACTAACAAAAATTTTCCAACTTAATATATATTTAATATTTAGAAAAATTGAATTATTTTCCATTTACTATATTAATATATTTTAATCTTTTTATTGCATTAATATATTAAGATTAATTATTTTATGTCAAGTATTTCAGTATATATTTTTGCTTAAAAATTACGAAATTTCATCTTCTGTTTTCAAGCTATGTTACGTTTTTAAATTTTTATGAAATATAAGAATTTAATGTGAAAACGCAGACTAAATTATTATAATTGCATATGTCATGTTCCGTAAGTCGTATCCAACATCTTTGCACAATGACCTGCGATCATAATATTTTTCATCCATTTTTATTTGTTTTTGAATAACATTGTAGAAATGTGCAGTGCGCCCCCCAAAAAAAAAGAAAGAAAGAAAGAGGACAGTTCTGTATCTCCGGTTCTAGTGGGCTCATTGATGAAATTCAACTTGCGTTTTTCATGTCTCCAAAGCGTGCGTTAGGATATGTATTATATATATCATTGTTGTAATACAGGTATTTTGACATAAAATCGGACTTTTTCTGAAATAACCTGCCAAATTTTATTCCATATTTTGATTCTACAACTCAAATTATGACAAACTGCCACGTTTCGTAAAAATCGCACGAGTAGCTTTTTAAAAAATTAGCTCTCCAAATTTTAGCTCCTCTCAATATTAATTGAATATGATATATTTTTATTAATATCTCTTTTCTTTTTATTAAACTTATTTGATTCTTCCTTTCATATTTCGAAATTTAGGTTCATTCCAAATAAAATTAGCCTATTTTTTTTATTTATTTTTAAAGTTTGTATTTTTAAATAATTTTTATAAATTTTTCGAAACGAATTTTGAATTATAACCTATAAAGGTTTTGCCATCATTAAAGTAGATGTATTTCTAAACATACCTGCAAAAAATTAGAGTTTATTATTCAAAATTTCCTAAGATATATGTGAATTTACATTTTGTCGCATTTTGAAATTTGGTGCATTTTTTATAAGCGATAATAAAGAAAATGTGGGTTATGCACTTTGTTAAAGTTATTTGAAACAATGAACGATGACTTTTTTTCCGCTTGTGGAGAACGAAGAAAAAGGAAAGGAAAATAAGTTGCCATAAATTAACAAGTCCGTCAAGTGAATCATTCTTAGCTCAAAGAGAAAAAATTCGCCAAGATAAATTTTTAAATTTCTCCATAAATTTCTCACCAAAAATTACGAAATTTATATCTAGGCATAATTTGAGTGGTGGAATCGAAATATGAAAAAAAAAAAAAAAAAAGATATATTATTTCAGAAAAAGTCCGATTTTATGTCAAAATACCTATGTTAGAACAAAGCTCTATCTAAATCTAATATATATCCCAATCGAGTTTTCGAGACACGGAAAATACAATTTGAATTTCGTTTCGGCCCAGTAAAACGGAAAATATAGAACTTTTTTTTTTTTCGCAGTGTACATGTAAAAAATGAATCGAGGTAAAATAACTTGAGGTAAAAGTTATTCACTTAAAATATTCTTTGAGAAGTTTTGTGCCTAAATGATGTGTTAGTCTTTAGATGCTGTCTGTCAGTAATACAGAGCTCTAGTTCATAATTTCTCTTTCTTGGCAGATAGCCCTAGTGTGCTTTGCCGTAATTAAATACACCACCACACCATAATTTCTCTTTCATAAGAAATGTTTCTGAATCTGAAAAGAGCTGTGACTATAATAACTGAGCAGAGCAACGACTAAAACTTTTCTTTTACGAAGTAAAGAGAAAAGTGTAAATACATTTTATGGTAAATTGTGTAATCTACAATTTCATCAAGGAAGGCATTGATTTTGATTTCAGATAAAAATACAGTAATACTTGGATTTGTGATTGATTTCTGTAGTTAATAAATAAAATTTAATGTATAATGTAAGTGAATTGTAAAGTTAATTATTTGTTATGAAATGTTGATTATAGAATAATTAATGAAAATTTAATTATATTACAAAGTAATTATCTATTCTGGAATCTATATTTTCTAAAAAAATAAAGCAATTATTTTCTAAAGTTTAAGTTTCATGAATTTGATTTCATATGCTTCATTTTTTTAATTCAAATTTAACGTATGATTTCAGTGACAATAGTTGGAGGAATATTATTTCTTGCATTTGCTGTATACTCACTTCTGGGGATTGCAGATAACTCCTCGCCACCTCTGAGTTCTTCATAAGATTCTCCAAATGTTTGAGTTCATTTTAACTGTTTAAGCAGATTCTCATCATTGTGAATAACAGTATTTATTTTCAACGAATATTTGCGTGCGTATAAAACATTTCATTGAAATTAATTACGGATAATTTTGTTCAACATTATATTTAATTACTTGTATATGTAATAAATCATTTTTTTCAGATGTTTATATCTTCTGATATTTTATCACAAACAAATTTAACATAACGATACACAATTCGTAAAACATATGCCCTTGGTTCAAAAACACATTATACACAACATTAACCTTTTATTTGGCATCTTAAGCATTTTGTTAGCGATTTATTTAAACTAATATACAATCAAGCCCCACTTTAACAAACTTGAAGGATCGGAAGTTTATTTCACTAAAACAAGTTGTTCGCCTTAACCAATCTTATAAGACAAATGGAAATATCTCATAAGAGATGTTATATGTGACTGATGAATTAAAAAAAATCTCATTAGCATTATTACGAGTACAAAGCCAAAAACAGCGAAAAATAACTACATATTTTTTTTAAAAAATTATCATATTGTTATTAACTGTCCAGACGCGGTGGGATAGTTTCCCCGCAAAGCAGGTTTAGGGTTGCCAGAAAATGGCAAGGGAAGGCAGGCTTGTCACATTTGGCGACAAAATTAGCGATATGCCATAGACAGATGGAGAACCTTTTTGGAATGAATTTTTACCGGTTTAACGCAGAATGTTCTCGAACACAAGCCAAAAGCTATATAAACCCTGCTGGTACGCGGACAGTCAGTCAGTGTCTTGTCTAGCGAAATGATAGTCAGAGTCAGTCAGTGCGTGTTTCGCAGTCTAGTGCCGAGTTGGTCGTCGAGTGCATCGAGAGAGTCTTTTAGTGTATCCCGAGTTAGTGCATCGTCGAGTTTCATCTTAGTGTGCTGAGTTCCGGGAACGACTAAACCAAGTCAGGAGCTGTACTCTAGTCTATCGTCGAGTGCATCGTGAGTTTTAGCGTAGAGAGTCTCGAGAGTACGTAAGATTCCGAGAACGACCGAGCAGAGTCGTGACTCTGGGGCTTTGCCGTGAAGCTTTTTTCACCGTTTTAGCCTGATAGTCTGAGGGGTGTGTCGCTGATTGTTCCAGCGTGTTTATAGTAGTTTTTCGACGACTGTAAACGTGTTATTGGAGTTGCCTTGAATAATACTGGCCAATAAAATGTGTTTTGATACTTCGTCAAGTGTCATCGTTATTCACTCCAATTCCAAGAACCCGTACGAACGTACGTAAAGGAAGAAAAAAGCGTAACAATACTAAGTATTAATTACAATTATTATTAGTTGCAATTATTCAATCCGTTTTACTTTCAATTCGGTTTCACCATATGTTAATAATTTTGCACTGTAAGTTAGTTTGTACAAAACTACTGGTTCAGATCCTTATCTCGAAATACATAGCTTCTTTAAAATACACGCTTATAATTAAGAAAGAATAATCATTTTTGTGGCACGGTGTGATCTCTTAAGATATGCTTATTGTCTGTCCAGGTTTTCAAGAATTTAATTAATTATTAAAAAGTTTCAAAAATACAGGAATTAAGTATTCGAGCTGATTCTCACGCAGCCATTCTATTAATTAGCTCTGTTGAACACCCATTAACATCTGAAATTTTGCAATGCCAAGAACTCCTAAGAATTCTCACTTTAAAGGGGAAACAAATCGTTCTGCAATAAGTGACTGGCCATTGTAGCCTTTGAGGCAATGAACAAGCGGACCCTTCCTTGCAAAAAGAGGTGTCAGTTTACTACAACATCCTAACACAGCCATTTCTTATTGGAAGGATAAACTGTTTTTTAAAAAAATTATTTACATCTAATATCTTACGAGATTTTCAGACTCGTACAGCTTTAAAAAGTTGGAGAATGTTAAGTCCTTCTCTTATTTCCGATAGTCCAAGACACAAAGGCTTTTCGTTTATCTACAGAACATGATTGCCTTGCCGCCCATCTGCACTGCATAGGCATTTCAAGCGATCCTATTTGTCCCCTTTGTGAATCTGGAGAAGAAAGGACAGGGATCACCAGCTCCGATGTGGGGCTCATCGTGGTTTTTCAGAAGAGTCGAGATACTGGGAGGCAAGAACGCTCTTTAGGCAATGACTTCGATCTTTTTCCAGATCTTTTTCTAATTTCTAAATTCTTTTCTAATTTTATTGTTGGTAACTTCTATTTATAAGATTTTAGTTTTTGTCCCTTTTTGCCTAGTCATTGGAAATAATAATAAAAAAAAAAGTATTACACCTGCCTCGAATAACCTTATTCTAACTTAGAACACAGAGAAAGAGGGAGGCAAAAATAGCTATGAAAAGGTATTTTTCGATGTCCTTAATAGCTTAAACATGGATGATGTTAAGCCTAGTAATTTTTTAGTTAAAACCTCTATAAATTTAAAAAAAAAAAAAAAAAAAAAAAATTCAGAAACCGTTTCAGCCGAAGATATGCCTAAGATCGTTATATTCGATTTTCATAGGTTTGGAGGTTAGGATTCGATTTTCATAGGTCTGTTGTTATGAGGGTTCGTGATACCCGTATTGATTAACATAAGTATAGAACAGAGTTTCTTAAACTGTGAGTCGCGACTCCTATGGGGTCGCGGAACCTGCAGCAGGGGGAAGCCAAAAGTTTTGGCAGTTTTGATATTTCTTTAACTTATAATATTTTTACGACTACCAAATATTTTTACGCAATGTATCTGAAAATAGATAAACATAAGACAATACAGACAAAGAAAAAACGAAAACATTTCGACGCATTCTTTTTATGATGTAAAGGTTCATTTTACTTGTTTGCACGTGATGCTGTCATTTCGTCTGTTACTTATTTCAAATTTTCCCGTTGTTCTATGTCTTAAAATTAGAAATTAAAGTTAATGACCTAAAACTGCAGTAGTACTCGTATATTACAGAATAAGGGGGAAAATTGGCAGTTTCACTCACGCTTGTGTCGGATTTGCGCAATGCTTATAGAGAGTCCCCCAAAATTTTCGTAAATATTATGGGGGTTCTGGGGTCTCGAAAAAAATCTCAATAATAAAAAGGGGTCGTGACTGAAAAAGGTTTAAGAAGCCCTGGTATAGAGGAAACTGGTTCATTTGTTATCTGAGAGTTCGTTGTAAACCAGATTCGTTATAGCGAGCTTTGACTGTAGCAAAATATTAGAATTTTAATGATATTTATTTACAAACTAAATATACTTTTAAAGTGCATATTGCTTTGAAATAAATAATTCCTTAAATAAATTTCATAGATTTTACATCTGACCTTTTATAACAGCTGTAAAATATCGAGAAAAACTCCAAAATACATGCCATAGAAATTAGCAAAAAATAAAAACTCACCAATTTGCCGTGGGGCTAATACGTCAATTTTTTTAACCTTTTGCTATTACCGACTTTTCTTCCCAAACACATATTTATTTTAGATTATCCTATTCTTCTCTAAATATGTACATCTTTTGTATAATCTTTTTCTTTTTAGATATAAGTACGTTTAAAAATGTTTACTGTTAGGTGTGTGTGTGATTATGGCAAAGCCTCAAGGGCTATCTGCCTAAGGAGAGGGATGCCTTCGTGGAGGACTTTCTAAGGGAAACTGGCTCGTATACACGTTACACATGGGGAAAACCACGAAAACGCCCATGCAGCCAGCCCGTTCGCGGTATTCGAACCTCTGACTGAACTACCAGTGTTCAGCGACTTTACCGCTCGGCTGTTGGTGTGCTGTTTATTGTTAGGATTCTGTTGAGATGATATAGGTTTTAGTCTCAATTGCAATGTTTGCTTTGCAATAAATTATTTCCCAGTTAAATCAAACACATCAAACTACAATTTAGTACTTTGGGTAATTTATAGAGAAATTTTCCTTTCTTTTCAGAGATACTACCATTATTTCGTAATAAATATTTACTATTTCGGTTTCTTTTCATTCGTTCTCTTAGGTACTGAATGTTATGTCATACTAGTGGTGATATAAGAATTTCTGGAGTCCAGAATGAATAGAATTAAGTTATAGAGGTGCCTTGTGTAACTAGAGTAATCCATACCAACCCGGCATTCGCTGTACCAGAACTCTCTGTCTGAGTTAATATGGAAAGAGTTAATATATGACTGTAATTTTAATTCATTTCCAAGTTTGTTTAAAATTGCGAAGTGTTGTGAACAATTCTGAGACTGTTAAAAGCACAAGCGTTGGAAATACCAGGAATTAATTAAATTATATGTTATAAAAATAATAATCTGCACTAAGTTCGTGTGCAATATCTCCGCTTTTAAGCTCATTTGAGTTTAGTTTAGTATGAATAGTTCTAGTTTTCAATTAAAAGTAGAAGACTCAACTGTCTTTAATCAACTTGCACATCTGCTTTTGGTTTTTAGGAGGTTCAGGTTCCAAATTGTTTAGATTGTAAGCCTTCATTTTAAATAACCCAATTATCTTATTGTTTTGCTTTTATAAGATGCCTACATCCACCAGCTTTCACCAGAATACAAATTAGTATATCTATAAATAAGCTTCTAGTTGCAAAACTGAAAGAGCGGCTAGCCGTCACTCTTTTAGATTTTCAGCTGTTGCGCTTTAGCTTGCTCCCAAAAGTTCCTACTAGCCGCGACGTTTTTCAAGAGTATATCAGGGGTGCGTGAGGGTTTAGATTAGGCTTCTTAATTTGTACAAATTACATACATTCTATTGAATTTGAAAGCGCATTTGTTTAGACGGAAATTAGTGGAGTTTTTTTTTTTTTTTTTTTTCTTGTTAAATTTTCAGTTTGTGTAACTGTCAGGTTCATTATGTTAACAACTATTTTTGTTAGCTGTGATACATGTATCTAAAATGTTTACAGGATTAAAAAGTCATCTGATAGGCTCTTGCGTTATTTTGGTGATCTGGTAGTTCAAAGTTACCATTGCAATCGTATAAAAAAACATTCGTTCTTTTCCTTTTGATGATGCTGGAATAGTACATGGGATTATCCCTGATCTGTTATACCCTCAGCTTCGTTGGAATGCTCACAGCTTAGATATGCTCTGGATTTCTTATAGCTTTTTCAGAAAATCCTTGATGGTTGTAGTAGGCATGGACACTTTGTGTTCTCCTTCGCCTGACAATAAGAAAGTTCTCTCCGGGTTTCTTCATGGTCGTTCGC